CCAGCAGGCGGAACAAATGAGATAGATTTGAGGCACCCCCGGATGCAAGCGAGTTTACGAAAAGAGTGTTTCACTATTCCTTGAAGGGGGCCCCCAGAATCTGCTTGTATAATCGCTGCAATCCCTCGGTGTTCATGTCTATTTAGGTTTCCCAAAAACTCGATTTTTGAGACACCTCATCCCTAACCCTAAGTCCCTGAACCCTCTGTACATCCCTATATACCTTCCAAAGGTCTTGAACACCCTAAACCCAAAACTCTTTGGCCCAAGACCCTAAACCCCCCAAACCTGAAGCCCTCAGCCCATCCACGATGCAGGCCTGGTTCTTGCTTGGCCTCTCCATTGCTCTGCTGATTACCCGCACCCTTCATGTCACTGGGTTCTTGATGTGGTAGCTTCGAAAAGTTCACGGACCCCAATGAAATAGTAGCATCCTTTTTTCAGGAACCCAAAATGGTACCCTAATTTTGGGTTTAGGGTTTAGGGTTTAGGGTTTAGGTACCCTAATTTTGGCAAATTCCCATGTGACAGCAACTCCCACACTCTAACCACTGAAACTAACCACTGAACCTTCCTAGGGAAGTAAATGAAAAGTGTGAAATGATTTAGAGAAAGTGAACGGAGAAGCGCAGTGAGCGTAATCAGTTCATGAGCACATGAGTTCACGCCCCACCAGTTATTTACTTTCATAATCTTTTCGTTCGCTTAACTAATTTACTGGGCGTGTGTTTCTCTTTGTTTCGTCCAATAATTAGCTAAAAGAGAGAAGGAAGATGTGAAATTAGATAGGTGGGGTTGTGAGGTCCTGAGTTCATGTTTTACTTGCGTTCTCTTCAGTCACTTCTCCAACTCATTTCACTCAGTGTCCTCATTCCTTTAGTGAAAGAACGAAGTGAGTGAACTCATGACACGAGTGAAGGGAGTGCATGACATGAAAAAAGCCACATCCTGGACTAGCAGATTTTAGGGTGGTCCGTAATGCTGTGTCAACCATCAGCTGTAGTCTTAGGATTTTGGCATTTTTGGATAGGTTTTTAGGAAATATCTTCATGGACTCTGATTTTCTCTATGCAAATTTTCTGTGGAGTCTGAAAAAGCTTCTCAAGCTTTAGGACACTAGAACTCTGGACTATAAGGTCACCAAGAATTGTATAATGAACTGAGTGCAACGAAGGAGCAAAGAAATCCACGAAATTAGATAAAGCAAAAGCGCGAAGTGAACAAATTCAATCACAAGAAACCGCAGGAGCTCGACTAACCGGAACAAGGGTGTCATTGTTGGGTGGATTTCGCGGGCGTGAGTGTGTGATGAAATGAGTTCTGCTTCGACATCAGGACCATTAGATTCCCTGACATGAAGGTATTCGTAGCATGTGCGTTTGAAATCCATTACGTTCTCTTACATCATTTGCTTTATTCTTTTAGTGAGTGATGTGATGAAAGAAGTGAGGGAAATGCGTGAAATCAGTTCATGAAGTGAAGACATTAGCGTATTGATTACTAAACACATAAGCTCACGTAATTCTCTTCATTACTGCCGTTTGCTTTCTCCAACTAAGGATTTTTGGTTGGACAAGGCATTTTTTGTTAAGCACGAGGAGTGAATTCATTTCACGAGCTCCCCTTCTACCTTACAGATAGTGCGTTTCTTACTATTAAATTTGGTTGCACTTAATTACTCTTTTAAGTATGCGAACCGAGAGAATGAGGAGAGAGAACGAAATGGTTTAGTGAAAGATAGAACGGAATGTGCTTAATATGAAATCCATGAGCGAAAATTTTAATTCCTTCATTAAATTCATTCTTTTCACCTCATAAAACAACAAACAGAATGAGCAGAATGAAGCCCTATTATCTTCGGATCTTGCAATCTAAAAGTATCTCTAGAAAGAAGTAGTCGGGATTTTAGGAGACTTTTCACTGTAGAAATTCATAATGTCTTAAATCTCTTTTAGATAATCTTCCTATTGGCTATTGTTAGTAATGTCTGGAGCCCTATAGTCCTGATGTTTGGTTCCATTGTTCGTGCGATTTAATTCATTCACGTCACTCTTTTCATTCAAATCACAGAACCAATAGAAAGAAGTAAGAAGCGCTCTCCCAAGTTAAAATCGGTTTTTCAAATTATTGGGGTTTTCTCGCTGTGTCGTTCACTCACTTACGCAGTTATGGTTTCTTCTTTTCTTACCGCATGACCTTCGTTCCTTCACTAAGAACCTTATGAGTGAACTAAATAAACTGAACCTCGTGTAACAGATGACTCGATTATTTGATTCCTTCGCCCATGACAGGTGGATTCCTAAACATCTCTAGGCTTTTGGAATTATGAAAAGGTAAACAAGCACTCACTCCTTTACTTTATTTAATGAACGGAGTGAACAAGCACAGTGAAGGAAGTGAAGTAATTGAGTGAAAAAAATAAGCGAAACTAATTCACAAGTTCACAAAGTCGGAGTGGTGGGATGAATTCCAAGATTATAGAAGCTTGCACGCTTACCAATTGATGCAGCTAGTGATGGAATAACTTAGACAAAATCATACGGATCTGTATATCATTCTCATATTTTCCAGAAGTTTTCGAATAACAAAATTGCTACCCTAAAGTCTTCGTTTATTAAAGTCCAATATCTCCATCTATTGGGCTTTCTATCTTCTGTTTCTATTTCACTTTCTTGTTTTCATTTGATTTGGCTTTGCTGTCGGGGGCCGTTAATTTACTTAGCTCTCTTCTCACTTGGCCTCATGTCTTAACGAAAAAGCTTCGGGAGTTAAACCGTATGCTTTGTTCAGGATTTTAATGAGCAAGCAAAGTAATTCATGAACAAATGCCACGAGAAGTGAACAACATGAGTGTGGAAATGAAGTTGTGCTTTCTTGAGTTGAGTTCATTATTGTTGTTCGCGTTCTCTTACTAACCCTGCGCTCGCTCTCGACGAAAGAAGCGAAGGCAAAGGAGCGAAATGAAAGAAAAAGAGTAAGAGAGGGAGGGGACGACAAGGCTGGTCTCTAATGCTCATGTCTTAGAAATCTTTACTTTTAACTGAAGGAGTTCTGTAATGCCACATATATTTTTTAGTTTCCTGGAATATTTCCAGAATTCCAGAAGCCAGAAGTACTGCAACGTTGAAAAATGTACTAGAATGGTGATCAGGATTACGAAAGATTTATTGGCGAATTTCAAGCCTATAAGAACCCTACACCCAACACCCTAAACTCTAAACGCTCAATCCTAAACCCTGAACCCTTGAAGATCCAGGTCAACTCCTGCTTCCTGGAGTGCCTCTCGGACGATGAAGTGCGACAGCAGACCTGCGAAATAACCAGCAACACTGGCGATAGCAAAGAAGTGCCTGGGCAGGCCCCTGGGATATTTTATGTTTTCCCTAATGGCTTTATATAGCAACATTTTTCGACAGGTTCTAGGGGCCAACCCAGGTGCACAAGAAGAACTCCCCAGGTCCCCCAGGGCTCTTGGCCACCCTGGGAGCCATCTTAGGGGCTTTGGTGGGCATCTTGCATCTTGGCTTTAGGGTGTAGGGTTTAGAGTTTAGGGTTTAGGGGCTTAGGGCTTAGGGTTGAGGGTTTAGGGGCTATGACTCTTTGTTGTGTGTAGTGACGGGACTATAGAGATGCAATTTTTAACAGGTGTACAAGAGTTTGCGAGGTGTGTGAGCATTGTTGTCATCGTCGGTGTACACAAGCAGCAATACGCTCACAGTGGCAAGTACAGAAGGTTGCTGAAGCCGGGTTGCAGTTCAGGAACTTCAATCAAGCTATCATCATGGGTATATATAGTGATTAATATGGTTTCCCCAATATAGTAACTTAATTTAAGTTCCTTAACAGCAGCACAGGAAAGGAGCTCTTAAGCACCAGATGCGCTGCCATTCTTCAATCCCAGAAGACACGCGGGACTGGAAATCTCAGAGATGGCAAGCCAACAGCTGCAGCTGGAAGGATCTAAAGAGGATTGCCTGGTTGAAGCTTGACATGGTCAACATCAGTGGAGTGGGACTAACGCTTTATGTTCGCACCCTGTGGCTGTTCTTATTCACAGCGGTCCTCTTCCGTATTGGGAACAGCGCTTCTTTGAGTATGTACCAACTGGTGTGGGGCCAGTGGTGTACTAATCTTCTTCGTGCAGATGGTGCCGTGATCTGGGAGAATTTGGCAACGGAACGTGCCTTCAGTCTGCTTCGTTTGTACATCGTGATGATGTTGCTTTACCTTTTCCACGTGCATGGGCAAGGTGGCAAGCAATACTTGTTTGACAAGACCCACGCGGAAATGTCAGACTATGCTATTTGGTGCTGGTTAATAGGGCATAGAGGCATGGGTCCTTACGACCCTAAACCCTAAAGCCTAAACCTTAAACCCTAAACCCCAGTGTAATTCCCCACCAACAGCCACCCAGCTGTCAACATCTGTAAACCATACAGCGCACCTTGAAACTCTAAGCACTTTGCCCTCAACACTTGAGTAACTTTCATTTTGTTACCAGTTCCCCTACGTATTCCTAAATATTCCTAATTTCGATTATACTTTCCATGTCATGTTCCTTTGGCTTTCCATTTTATTTTCCATTCGACTTTCGATTTTCATCTCCGTTGATTCTCAACTATATGAGCTTCCATTTCGTTATCCATTCCTAAGCTCTAAGCCCTAAGTATTGGGTCATTCCCCCTCCCAGTAACTGTCCTTAAAGGGTCCTTATTAAGGGGGTTCTTATAACTCCTATAACCCATTGTGGTAACAGTTACTGTAAGGGGGAATGACCCAACCTAAGTAGCAGTTTCCATGTTTCTTTTCCATTCCTGATCCCCGCCGGTAAGGCTTTCTTGGCTTCGGGCTTCCCACCTGATGCGACTGAGGAAGACATCACAGCTTTTCTAAACAGTATCTGGGCTATACTCTAAATACTCTAAACTCCTGAAAGGGGGATATATAGGGATTATCTAGGGGTTATTCTAGGGGTTACTAAGAGGGACACCAGGAGTTTAAACCATAGCTCATGTTGCTGATGGTTAGGATACGCGAACTCCAATGGGGTTGGGTTTAGGGTCTAAACGGTACCTTACTGGTGGTTATAAAATGATGTTAATGGGGACTCCGAACAGCAAACCTCCTGTAGATGGTAGGTAGGTATATGATAGGAATATAAGGACTCTGGAAGACATGTTCGTATTGCGTTTCCAACTCCATGTTTGGGATCCGCACTTAACTCCTTTTATAGTATAGTATGAAGGAGATAGTGATTATTGCTGGGTAATGTTTTATAGAGAGATAATCCTTCACTATATCCTACCCACCTTACCCAGACCCTAAAGCCTTAGCACTAAACCCCAGTAAGGTGTCACCAGTCTTGGTGGGCCACACAGGCCCGGGATAGTAGGAGTTTCGGTGGGCTACGACTTTGCCGTCCATGCCCCGCTGTTGCAAGCTCTGGTTGATGAGCATCTCATGGATGTGGCTTTCTCGCAGGAGGAGGAGCATCCCACAGACTCGGAAACCGACCCTGGGCTTCATAATCCAATATACCCCCAATTCATACCCCATTATAATATAGTCGTTTCCATTTTCTTTTTTCATTATCCTTATATTACCCCAAAAGGTGGGATGCTGGCTTAGCAATGTTCCAGGATACTTCCTCAGCTTCCGAAAGCTTTCACGTGCGCAGCTCCTTAGAAAGCCAGAGAGCAGCAGCAGCGGCCTTCGACCCCGACTGCCAAACCGCGGAGGATGTGCTGAGAGTTCTGCAGGAGTTGCAGAACTCAGGCACTGTCACTGGGCTGGCTGATGGAAGTTTTAGATAGATTTGGGTACCAAAGCTTTGACCTGTTTTGTATTTTTGAAGGAAACGTGTAACGGTGCAAATGGTAGGGTTTACACATGGTTCTCGAAGTTTTCTCGACAGGTAATCGTGGTGTGTCGATATCCCTGTGACACGGCCGAGGCGCTAGAACACGTGCAGCAACAGCTAGATACTGGGTTGCTGTTAAGGAACTTAAATTAAGTTACCATAATGGGTATTTCTAGTAAATAATAGGGTTTCCCCAATATAGTAACTTAATTTAAGTTCCTTAACAGCAACCCAGGATAGTAGCTTGTGGGATGGCCGTCATCACATTACGGTAAGCCGCATAGATTGCGAGCCACCTTCCATCAATTGGCAGCACTTCTCAGTTGGCCTTTTTCAAGGCCAGCTTCAGCAGAGGCTGGAAGACTGTACTTCCAGGTTCTTGCCATCCTGCAACAAGCGGCAGCAACGGCTATGTGTGGCCAATGCTATCATAATTGGAGCTTTTTTGGCAATGCTTGCCTTCTACACCTTCCTCTATCATCAAGTGTATGCCAGAAGCAAATCTCCCCAGAGGGTGTTGACTTATGTTTGCACAGTAAGTTGTGCTCTTGGCAACGTGCTGCTAAATCAGCTTGTTTGGTTTGCCTCGCAGCAAGTTGGGTTCCGGTTCAAGTCACACAGCGACTCCTTTGTGCTGATGTGGTACACGATCGTGGTCCTAACGAACATGTGCTTCAATTTTCTCGTGATCTGCTGGTCTGCGGGGGCGAGGCCCGCTAACGAATTTGCAGCATTAAGGTACGAAGAGCAGCTTGCCAATCGGTTGGCGTCTTTTGTGAGAGGCTCAGTTCTTTCTTACGCCCTTTGGCCGTTGTTCTATCCCTTTCATTGGGTACTGGGCATGCTTCAGCTGCTCTACTTCCATCTGAGTCGAGCGCGCCTAGACTTGACGGATGAACGCTGCAAGTGGAAAGCTGAACATGCAATGGAGCCGCCGGAGTGGTACATGCAATATGACGCTAGATTAGCCTTTAGGACGTTCAGGCGTTTCCCAAAAAGGCTTTTGACATGCGCCATACTTAATGGTGTAATTTTTCTTTGGCTCTAAGTGCAAACTGTGTGCGTTTACAAGCCCAAAGCCCAGGATTATGCAGGCCTGACGGTGCTGAAAACCACCTCCTTCATGTGCCTTTTTATCTCTGGCGACGATGTCCGTGAGATATTCTCTATTGACATTGTCTGGGTTTTGTGCACATACCTCTTGAACAAGTACATATATCTGGTTCTCAGCAAGGAAACATATTTCACCAACCGGAATCTTGACACGATTGCTTTGAAGTCGTCTTCCTTGGCTCTTGGGGTCCTTGCAGGTTGTGTTTGCCATTGGGGCTTTCGTTCTCGGAGCCCGATTGGGTTCGTATTAATGGTGGCCCTAGTATCGGGTGGGTATCTGCGGGGGTTCGACCTTGCCCTAAGCTGGGCAAAGGAAAGAAGATCCCACACAGAGCGGGTGTGGTATGATTCGGTTCCATATGAGGACATCGAGCGGGTGTATCCCTTCAACTGGTGGAACGTCAACCCAGCGCATATGATGCGCTTATTGCACTTGACCCCGCAGCTCTTACGTGGTCAGAAGTTCCTACACCAGCGTGTGGCCTGGCAACACGGCAAGAGCTACCTGCAGCCTGATTTGGCGCTGGATTTCGTAAACACCGAGAGCCGAGATAGCGAAGAGGAAGAAGCTGCGGAGGTCGGAACCTTCCTCAATGTCTTGAAGCTCTTTTTCTTGGGGAATTGCTGCCCTAGGCCCTGAACAAGAAGAGCCCTAAACTGCAAGCCCCAGAATCTCAAAAGCCTTCACCCCTGAACCCCTTCGAACCCCCAAAGTGCACAGAACCCAAAATTATTTTCCCCGAAGTATCAGCCCTAAGGCACAGCAATACCCTGAATAGGGATACATCAGACTCCAACACGGGGACTCCTAGAATTAGGGGCTGCTTTTTGGGTGTCCTTTTAATACAGGTTACAGTGTGATTCCTAAACCGTGCATCCTTATCATTGGGGCAATTTGAGCCCCCCTATCTATGGAAATTCTTTTCCAGACTTGGACAGTGCCATCCCTTGGGATGTAGTATTGTATCAGGCGTTGAGGGTTCAGGGACATAAACCCCAAACCCTACATGTTTCCATGTAATCGAGTAAGAAGAAAACTTATCAAAATACCATGAGCGCTGACAGTACCATTACCCTTGTTACCTCCTCTTTAGTTATTATCACCATTACCATAACCATTACTATTACACTACCACTTTTACTACTACGATTACTGCAATTTGCTCTTTGAACCACCCTAAGCCCATAACCGGTTGAAGTACTTGGTCACAGCGGGAGCGGCGCATTTCCGTCACTATTTTTTCAACCAATACCTGACAGCAGACTCGAGAATAGAGACCAGGGGCATTGCCTCTTCTTAAGGATGACTCCACCATCCAGCGAAAGCCTGATGCCTGTGCCAACGCTCCCACCAGACTTTTTTGCCCATGTGCAGCCCCACCGTCTGAAGTGCATGACAAGCCTAAGCACTCGTGAACCCTAAATCCTTAGAACCCTAAACCCATAACTCGACACCTAGACCTGAACCCTGCGCCCTCAACCCATAACCCGAAACCTGAACCTGAATCCTACGCCCGTAATCTGAAACTTAAACCTGAACCCTACACCTTCAACCCTAAAACCTAAACCCCTAGACCCTAAACCCTACTCGCCGCCAGGTGGAGGACCCTCCCCCGCCGCCTCCCACAACAACCTGGCCAAGCCATCGTCCTGCAGAGGAACCTGGCTGTCCTTTACGGCTTCTGGATTTCATAGGGTTTTGGGGTTTAGGGTTTTAGGGTTAGGAGTTTAGCGTTTAGGGGTTTAGGGTTTTGGATCTAGGGTTTTGTGTTTTGGGTTTAGGGTCTCGGGTTTAGGGTTTCGTGTTTGGTGGTTTGGTGGGGTACGTTGGGATCATGTATTATTGGCCAGGGTGACGGAGAATCAAACTGACACGAACATGGCACCTGAAATGGAAGCTGGGATTGTTCTGGGTTGTACCCCCCCTCTATATTACCCCCCCCCTCCCCTCAGGTTCCACCCTTAATTTAGGTTATTTAAGGATAATTAGGCTAGTTGAACCCATGAGATTGTGTGGTGGTTTCTCGTGTTTGGCGTATATCATCGGGAATTTGGAGGGATCTTTAGGGATTAGGGCTGAGGACTTTAGGAGTTAATGCTTCTGGTGGGTTTTTTGGGTTCCAGGCTTAGGTTTCTGTGTTGCCTGCTGCTAGAATAAAGGGGGGATTGCCTGGAGCGTACTGCCAGTGCTTGTTATCCGGGAATTTTGCAAACATACATGGTCGCTGTTCAGGGCATCACGTGGGTAGTGAGGAAGATTTTTTGTAGTATGCGGATTGTTGTGCGAAGTATGTACCTTCGAAACAAGGGTCTAGGGTTCAAGATACGGGATTTGGAGGACTTAGGGTGTTTGGGTGAGGATTCGAGGGTGCTAAAGGATTAGCATCCTCCAGTTTTCCAGGCTATTTGTAGGGATTTCTTTGAGCAGATTTTTTCCCAATAAGTTTGTAGTGATTGCGCGAGGGGGGGGGATTGCGGAAGGTTCATCAGTTCCTGTCTAGAACTCCTCAAAATATTACATCGGCCATTTGCAATTTGCGGCTATTGAACAGCTTGTCGATCTATGAACCTATAGTTCCCCTTAAGTGGATAGAATATGGGGTATATGGGGATCTTATTTTAGTATACCCAAACCCATGTTCTATGTACTGAAGGGGACTATAATGGTTCTCCTTTTCTGGGAGTCTTCTTTCAGCCAGCGTTTGGGAAGGGTATTAGGTATTGAACGCAAAGGAACCAGACTCGAGTCAGGCAGTCGTAGAGGGCTTCCACAATGATTTCCAAGGTAATGTGAGGTTATATAAGGTCATATGGTGTTGTATAGGGTTATATGGGTTTCAAGGGGTTGTACAGGGTAATATAGGGTTATACAGGGTAATGTAGGGTTATACGGGGGTTATGGGAAAGAACTTACTTCCAATCCCCAGCCTTCCACTTCAAACCCTGCGCCCCAAATCCTAAACCTCAATTCCTATACCTTATACCTAGATCTTGGACTCCAAACCTGAAACTGCCAATCATCTACCCCGAACCAATATCCCGAATCCCATAGCGCCTAAGCCAAAGCTTACTTGTCGCAACTAGTGCTAGTATTTCTGCGCTTGCTACCATTTCGATGAGGACTGCCATTGTCATTTTTCCACCACAAACCTGAAACCCTAAACCTATGCACGATGATTATTACTACTTGAGAATTCGTACTAGCAACGCAGCCGAGGAACCCACAAACTCTGCCGGGGCCATGGTGCCATGTCCTTCACCCACAGAGGCGCTCCCTCAGGATTTAAAGGGTTTTGGGTGTTTGTGCTTTAGTGCATTATTCTTGCCTTGGGGTTTAAAGATTTTCAAGTTGAGGTCCGGCTTTATTGCTTTTTGGTGCGTCCATCTGGTCCTGTCGGTGCGTCCATACGGTTCTTTCGGGTTTGTTTTGTGTGTGTGTGTGTGTACACCTGGGGTATCCATTTGGGAGAGGATACATCTACTTTCCTCCTACCTCACACCACAGCTTTCCCAAGAGCTCAGGAGTAAGGATTCAGTTTGTAGGCCCCTGAATGCTGAAACTCTGTTCAGAATGGTTCGAACATGGTTCCTGTTTTTTTATGCAGAGCTTGGTGCCGGAGGGTTGCTTGTGTAGCGTGGCGCGCATTATGCTTTCTGCATGTCTAGGAGCCCAGTAAGAATCAGGAGTTTTTGTTTGCTGCGGCCCCTAAACCCAGACCCTTCGACACTGCCCCTGTGATGATGGCAGCCTTTTTGTGTTGTGGCGTTACGCCCCAACAGCTGTCCTATACATGGTGATCATTGGGTCCAGGCATTGCGGGAGTACCAACCCAAACCCCACACCCCAAACCCCAAACCCTCAAACCGTAAACCCCGAAACCATGAAATACATAGGGTATATATAGTAAGTATATAAGGATCCCAGGGTTAAGGGCCCTTTAAAAGGACCTAGGGTCCCTAGGGTTTCCATTTTCTTTTCCATTATCCCTTTTTAATCCTAATAATCCTCTATCGTCCCCTATATAATCCTAAGGGCCCTTAAGTACCTAGGCCCTAAACCCTAAACCCGTATATAAGGATCGCAGGGTTTAGGGCCCTTTACTAGGGGCGCATGGTTTCTAACCTAAGAGGTGACCTCGGGCTTCGCCTCTTCAGCACCTGCAGGGCAGAGGGAGAGGCCGCGTGGTGGTGAAGCTTTTGGGGTTTAGGGTTTAAGGATTAGGGTTTAGCGTTTAGGGATTAGGGTTTAGGGTTTAGGGACTGGGGTCTTGGGTTTCGGGTGTAGGGATTAGGGTTGACGGATTAGGGTTTAGGGTTAAGGGTGTAGGGTTTGGGGATCAGGGTTTAGGGCTGAGTGTTGAAGAGGAAGGATTTGCAAAACTGAGGTCTAGGGTTTAGGGTAGAATGGAGATTCGACTGGCACTTCAGATGGGTAATGAAATGGAGGCTGGGCTAAGATAGGGGGCTATTTGGGATCGAAAAGGTTTGGATACTATGGCTAAATTGGGGATACCTTCAAGATTCGGGGCCCTATCATAATGGGAGCCTAAGGGGACCATGATCTTGTGAATCTACCATATGGATCTTCACATAACCTGATATATGCCCCTATTAGATGGCAGTATTAACAAAATCTCGTCTGTGTTTCTGCATTGGGAATGTAGTCTCACGTGCACATTCATAATCGTTCTGATGTTCTAAGCCCTAGACCCCGAACCCTCAACCCTGAATCCACTCCTCCACATCCCGCTCCATCATGAGTTGGCAGGTGGACAGCTGACCAAGTGAAGCCCGACAAGCATTTAGGAATCCGTTTGCTACCTTGGTCTACCGGGGGTGCTTCAACACTTTCATAGGGAGCCCATTGGGGTGCATGTGAAGCTGTAAGGCTTTGGTTTCTTCCCTGCCTCCCTTGGGGGCGCCAATATAGGAGTTTCCCAAAATCGGGGGTACCTTTTGAGGGTCCCCATAATAAGGATTATAGTATGTTGGGGTCATATTGGGGTCCCTTCTGCATGTTTACCTTTCTTGCTAAGGATCAGCCGGTCAATCTGAGACACGCAGCTCCCACAAGCATGGGACCGAAGGGACTTCACCATCCTGCGCGGCATCGTGTATCCTGGGTCATGAGGAGAACTCCCCCAGATCCACAAAAGCTCACCCAAGACCAGTGAATGATACTGCTTGCCTTTTGGGCGCTACAAGGGGAAGACGAGGAACGGTTGCACACTTCGAGAACGGCAGGAAGGCTCTGAAGTCTCGACTGAGGCGAAAGCAGTGGGGGGTCTCACCTGGTACAAGATTTACCACATTCGATTGAGGCCCAGTGGAAGAATGCAGTCACGTGCTGCTAGGCTTTTGTAGCAGGTGGATCGCTGCGTCTTACCAGGCACAAAGAAGAGGAGTCATTGGTCTTTGGTGCTTGTGCAACTCGGACTGTGTAGCGGGCAGAGCTCCTTAAAGGCTCCAACAACAGGCCCAATGCAAGCTTCGCCAACCAAGCCCACTTTGTAAAAAGCCACCATGATAGTCATGAACACAGGCATATAAAAGGCAGTGTGTGCGGAAGATAACATTTGAGTTGAAACATGAGGCGAAGCTGCATTGCTGATGCATGTTGAACGTTGACAGGCTCACAGGAGATGCCTTGAGAGTAGTCAGACTCGCATGAGCGACTGACTGTGGCTCAGTGTGGCATTTCGATCATGAAGGTCAGAAAGAAGTGTCCCGGTCAACAGCGCGAAGTCCGTAGCAGCGCGTGGCTGGATGGCAAAGTGGACAATGAATATTGCGAACATGATCGAACTTGCCAGATACGCTTTTTGGGCATGATTGCTGCTTCCGACTGCTATGCCTTCCATCCGCAAGCCACTCTGTGACAGCCGGGTATACAGCTCCTTTCAGCTGCCCAATGGCATGCGAGCTATTGTTGCCAGTGAGTCGGATAAGTCCGTTGCTGCTGCAGCAGCGCTCTGCGTGCTGGCTGGAAGCATCCACGAGCCCAAGGACATCCCTGGTCTGGGCCTCACAGGCTGTGTCTACTTAAGCTCTAGCTGCCTAGCTTTCGGAAGGATTTGCGCAGATCCCCTTGCACTTAGGCCTGGCACACCTTTGCGAGCATATGCTTCTGCACGGAACCCTCCAGCCTTGGGGTACAACTTTCTCTGAGCACATCAAGGCGCACGCAGGTCAGCACAACGCGGTCACTACAATGTTGCAAACTTGCTTTGCCTTCGAGATTCAGTCTGACCACTTGGATGCTGCTTTGCGTCTTTTCTGCCGCTTTTTCCTGTCACCCACATTCTGCCAATCGCATCAACATCAGGAGCTTAAGGCTATTGATGCTGAGCATCGTATGAACGCTCAAAGCGACTTTCGCCGACAATGGGCGGTGTTGTTGCAGGATGCTAACCCTCGGCACCAATATCACTGGGCTTCAGGCTGCAGCAAGTCCCTGCTACAAGGACCAGTGCTGCCTAAGGTAATATACTATGTAAGGATTATCTAGGGATTATATTCATACATATTCCTTTATTCCCTACTAGCCACCAGGAAGTTCTGGGGCGTCTCATATGGACATGAAGCAGTGGTAGTGCTAACAAGATTTGTAACCATAGTCAAGACACTCGTCAGTAATCAAGGTAAAACATTTTTAATCAGTAGCACACGCAAACGCACACGCAGAAACAACTGGGTTTCTGTTAAGGAACTTAAATTAAGTTACTACATTGGGGAAACCCTTTTATTTACTGTATATACCCATTATGGTAACTTGATTTAATTTCCTCAACAGCAACCCAGAACAAGCCTGCTCCTCACCTGAACGACCCTGAAGGCGCCGCAGCTCTCAAGTGTGATTTGCACCAAGCCATGGAGAAGTTCCATGAGTCCACCTACAAAGCTAGTCGTATGGCGTTGGCAGCGGCTGGATTGATGTTAAGAGAAACCTGTTAGTTTTGGAGGTTCCGGATTGTTCCTCCACCTGCTGGTACGTGGACAAGATATCTTTGGGTTTTGGAGTAAACCTCTTAGGATCCTTCATGTCCGGGAAAGCTTTACTGCTCAAACTACTACAACCCTAAACGTTTTATTTTTCAGATATTATTTCTAGACCCTTACCCTTCACGTGTTAAAGTGCAACAGCCCTAAACCCTAAACGTTTTATTGTTAAGATATTTTCCCTAAACCTTAAACCCCAAGCCCTAAATCCTAAACCATAAACCTTAAACCCCAAGCCGTAAACTCCAAACCGTAGACCCCAACCCCGGACCTTAAACCCTAAACCCTGAATTTTGCATCTGATGTGCTCAGAGCAGGTTGTGGGCCCGCAGCCTGTGGAAAAGTTGGAAGCATCTGGTTAAGGTTTTGAGGGTTTAGGGTTGAGGGGTTCAGGGTTTAGGGGTTTAGGGTGCAGGGGTTTAGGATTTAGGGGTTTACCCGGTTCAGGGATTAAGGGTTTAGGATCCAGGGTTCAAGGTTTGGGGTTGGATCTAGGGTTCAAGTTTGGGTTGTCTTTCTGGCCTACAGATAAGCTTCGCTTGAATCTCGGAGGCTAAGGGCTTCTGTTTGAGGCTTCCTAGGTGTATTTGGTAGTTTCCCAAAAAAGGGGGACCCCAACATAGACCCCATTATACTATAGTCCTTATTATGGGGAATCCTGAAAAGGTACACCCAATTTTGGGAGACCCCCATTTGAAAGGATGCTTGGGATACAGGGATTTTTTTCAAGGGATTGCATTGGTTGGTCTCAAGGATTGTGAATTGGGTTGGGACTCAATCGGAATAAGCCTTCTGTACTTCTCAACAGAGACCTGTATAGTCCCCTAAACCCTAAACCCTAAACTCATAGGAAGAGCGCCGGGCGGCCAGTGGGAAGAGGCCACGGACCAGGAGAAGGCCGAGCTAGAGGCGCACGACGCGGAGACGAAGGAGGAAGAGGACAAGCAAGCGGCGCATGACGCGCACTTATGGGCTGCCCACCAGGCCGCGGAGGCCAGAGCCTGGGATGACTGGGCGGTAAAGACGGAACTGGAGCAGACCTCGAGAATGCGACCGCTCAAGCGCTTCAAGGTCCAGGTCACCGTCAGAGACGCAGAGCACAACGAGATTGCGGTTGCCAACCTGAACGGAGAGCTGGAGGCCAATGACGTTCCGCAGGTGTCGTTTGCCGTATCGGAGGAAATTGTGCACGTCCCGCAGGACAACTTGGACGCAGAGAACGGCGGCGGAGAAGGGAATGAGCAGCAGCAGAATGCAGAAGAGCAAGGGGATGAAGGGTCAGACCGGACAGAGATGATCGTGATGGGCCCCCTGGAGGGTGAGGTAGACGAACACATCGATGCCAACCTCACGGACCTCGGCTCGATCATGGAGACAGTCATGGGGAGGCAATGGTTTCAGCTCTTTGTCAATCGAGAGGTTGATGATGCGATGGTTCGCAAGAGATGGGGCGCAACGGCACTGGAGGTGTTCCAAATCAACCGCGATATGATGGAGCTTCAGCAGGGAGACAAGGACATCAGGGAAGACAAGCCAACCAGCGAAGGCCTGCACGTCAGACCAATGTCGGAGGATGAAGAGTCCCTGGCGTCTTCTGGACCGAAGGTCTTTCCTCGCAGAGTGGTGGTCGCAGGACGACGAGGCGAAGACTCCTTGGAAGGGGAAGAGGCGACGACTGAGCGAGACGTGGAGGCCGTGGAGGGCAACAACGATGTGGAACAGAGTGGCTTGCGGGGAACTGCTGCTGTGGCGGAGATGGAGCGAGAGGGCATGACTGCAGGGAGTGCACGGCCAGTGGACGTTGAGGGCGAGCACGGTGGCACGGGGGCAGGCGGCGGTGGAGCGGGAGGTGGTGAAGCGGAGGTGTCACAACAAGTGCTGGAGAACACGCAGATAGATGTGGCAGAAATGATGGACGTTGCCGAAGAAGAAGGCGGAGGTTCGTCGGCAGCAGGTACCGCGGGCACTACTGAGGGGCTGCATAATGGTAGCTTTGGAGATGGAAAGGTGCAGACTGACCTGCAAAGCTGGTTGAAGTAGCAGTAGTTGAGTGCACCAAGGGACTGGCCTTAGTAGTACAGCAGGGGCCTTTTGTTGAGTTTGCCCTGGAGGGAGGCTCTGGTGACGTAAGTTCACTGGGAGCTTTCCCTGGGGTGATGCCTGCATGGAAGCCAGCTTTCTGAATGTGGAGGCTTTGCAGCTTTTTTGGCTGTGCAATGGGAAAGACCTGTTGCATAGAGTT